TGATGCCACTGCTGCTGAGGCCACAGTTAGAGATGACCAGGAGGATGCAGGAGATGACGACACACCCACCACTGATATGGAGGAGGACTGATCCTCATATCAGTTTATCTGTTTTCAGACTTGTATTTTTTTTTTATTTTGCTGTTTTTACTATTAGTCTAGTGCATTTTGATATGGAGGTATATTGAGACTGACCTGACATGACTGATATTTTTTGGATATATGACATGCTGACGTAGTTTCTCTATCTGTGACATGTGTGCAGAGAACAGTATCATTTTTTTCTGATATCTTGCTTAGGATTCTTTTTAGATTTAAATTTATTGCTAAGGACAGCAAGATTTAAATCTGGGAATGGGTACCAACGCAATTTATCAGACCATAAACTTCACATGGTCGGAAGGAGAAACTCATGATTACACGGAGTACACAGAAATATCCAAATTACAAATGCAGTGTTTCAGGGGAGTTTCTTAATATTATTTTCATATTATAGTTCATTATTTTTATATTATTTAGTATTAGTTTATTTTAGAATTATTTTGATTTAGTATTAGTTTATTTTAAGGTCTTCATATATATTAGTTAGTTTAATATTTAAGTTTTTTTTTTTTTTTTTTTATTTTAAATTATTTTTAAGACCCCTTCCATCTTAGTCAATAAATAATAATTAAGTGGATCTTAAGAGATTTTCCATTGTGCTTGATATGGATGCATAATGAATAATTACATGAAATTGGTTGATAGTTGATATCAAGAGTATAAAGATGTAGATAAATTTTATTTTCGTACGTAAATGAGCGTCAGTCAAGCATGCTTCATAGTTCACTGGAATAAGAGAAGAATAACTAGAGTAATCAAAGAGAGAGTGGAAATAAGTCTCACATCCTTCGCCGTAAGCTTTTGAGCCTAAACAGAATTTTTTTTGTGGTGTGAACTTCTCTGTATGAATCACTCTAGAACTTGTTTTGTTTCTCTTTGAAATGGTCTGTAGTATACAATTGTTGAAATGATAGAGGCAGTTCTTTCTGAAAGCAAGATAGCCAAATAGCCACCCTGATGTTCATCCTTAGTTGAAGCCCCTTTGAGCCTAGGCCTATTTATTCATTGACAGCTTATTGTGAATAGCCATTTTATACACATCCTCACCTGAACTGATTAAATTTCAAATTTAAATGAGGGACTAGATATGATTGAAACAAAAAGAGAAAATCAAACTCTAAGTGTATGGGAGAAAAGGGTGAAAAGAGGAAAAAGCCAAAAAGTGGTGGAAAAGAAAAGCAAAGAAAAAGGTTGAAATGTGTATCTGTACAAAAACAGAAAAACAAAAACAAAAGGAAAAGGGAAAAGAAATAAAAGACTCATATTATATGAATAAGTGGAAGAAGAAAAGAGAAGAAAAATAAGAGAAATCTGTTTACTATACGTTGAACAGTTAAACTAGTTCCTCTTTGAAGTTGAATTTTGATCAGTTATCTTACGCCACTTACCCAGATGATTCCTTCCCTTTTATCTAAAGCCACGTTACAACCTTAACAAAGACCTCTTGATTGACTTTGTATAGTAGTAAGACTGTGGAGAGTGAGAATATAAACAAGCTTATGGTAGTGTTAATTCAGTAAAGTAAGAGTGAAACACATACCCTTAAACACTGAATATGAGTGAATAAATAAAAATCCAGTGAGAGGGTGTTGTGGGAATTAAATTGTACTACTCTTTCTTTTGAGAACGCATGTTATGATTTTATGACTGGTGAATTATGGTTGTTTGCTTGAAATGGATGTGTCATTGATTTTAATAAGTCTGAATACTTTGGTATCTCATTATTGATCAGTTTTCTGCCTGATATTCATTAAGCATGACTAGCCGTCTTCAAACTTTCCCATAGTTTTATTCTAATTAGTTGCTGAGGACAGCAATGTTCGAATCTGGGAATTGTTTGATAAACCTTTAGTTTATCTTATTTTATAGACTAAATTAATATAAAATATCAAGTTAAATAAGTCAAAAACTAAGGTTTAATATAATAATCATGAACATTATCTGAATTTTTGTTTAATGGAATCATCTTTGCTATTTTTTAGGGATTTGTTGACAAAAGGAGTCAAAGATGAAGATTGGATAAATAGAGATCACAACTAGAAAAGATAAGATCAAGAGATGATAGAAGAAGATCAAAAACAATAAGATTGAGGATCTTATCAAGTTGTTAGAAGTGGGAGCTTAAGCCCCCATTCAGAAGCTTAAGCTCCCTAAAAACGCAAATAGCTACTGCCTCTGGGCGCTTAAGCCCCCAACTCAGGGCTTAAGCGCGCCACAAGAAGAAAAAGTTGTCGCGAGGAGCGCGCTTAAGCGCCCTTCAGAGCGCTTCAGCGCGCAACGCGAATCAGAATTCACTGTCCTAGGGCGCTTAAGCGCGCTACAACAGGCTTAAGCGCCCAGACAGATCCAACTTAGGCCCATTCGAGTTTTCTACTAGGATACGAACTCTTGGCCAATAAAAGGGCCATTGGGGACCAGAAATACATAACTTTTAGATTGCTAAACAACTCTTGGGTGCTTGGAGGCGGAGGGAACGCGAAGAAACATCAGATTCATGTTCGTGAGCGGCGGAGACGGATCAACGTCAAGTGTTCACTGGAGATTTTGAAGATCCACCAATCACCTATGGAGTTTGGGGGAGCCTTTCTATTTTCTTTTGTTCTTGATTTTGCCATGTCCGGCTAGTTCTTTAAGTAGTTAGGGTTAGATGGATTTTAGTCGATTTATTATGCTTTGAATAATTCGTACGTTAATTTTCCTTTTTATCATGAATGAAGTTATCTGTTTTTAATGCTTTATATAGGCTTGAATCTTATATAATGATCATCGGTAAATGCATGACAATAGGGATGTTGGTGTGTGATCCATATCTGATAACTTCATCGTAAACGCTATGATTCTAGGAATAGACATAGAATTTGCGTAACCTTAAGATTCTTGAACTTAATGCTTGCATTCTTGGGGAATAACCGGGGAACTAGGGTTCTTTCAAGTTTGTAAAGGTTTTAGGGTAACAAGGGATTGAGCTCTAATAACACGCGAAAGAATTGGTTAGATTGATATTAAGGACGGTTAACGTAAAGAAGGACTTTGAATCATAATAAGGAGATTAAAGGAAATCGAACCCCTAGCTACGTTCTTTTACATTCTTAAATCACATCTTTAATTTCTTGTCTTTAATTCTTGCAAGTAATTAGCTTAATATTTAATATTTCAATTTTACAATTCAAATCCTGTTTCCAAATACACTTTCGATTGTCCAACTAAGTTTGCGATAGTGAATTAGTGCTTGAACCGTAATCCTCGTGGGAACGATCTCTTACTTAATCATATATTACTTGTACGATCGGTGCACTTGCCGTGAGTAGCAACAACCATCTTTGTAAGGGATTTAAAGTCTTAATCCTAAACCCACCCCAAACAGGATTACCTCCTGTAGAGGATACTTGTGGTTTATGAAATATATTTATAGAAAATATTACTCTCAACATAAGATAAATTATCTTATGCTCTCTCACTTCGATTTTCTCACCCCACCTTTTTCTTTTTCTTTTCTTTTTTCTTGTAACGGTGGGACCCACTTATTTTCTCTCTACAACATTAGATAATTATCTCATGTAAAAGAAGACTAATAAAACCCTATATATATACATATATATTTATATATATTTATATATATATATGGAAAAAGTGTTTGTGCTTTAAAAAGATGTAATTTGTGTCCTTTTAGTTTTTTTACTCTAAGTTAGTAATTCAAGCTTATTTCAATGCTAACAGAAAATATAAAGTAAAAAACTAAAAAGACACAACTTACATCTTTTAAAAGGACACTCACTAAACCCTATATACATATATATATATATATATATATATGGGATTTACATTTCTGCAACTGTTGAATGTGCAGCAATTAAATACTTGCCATATATATACTTGAAAGCATTAAATGCTAGAAATCATAACCATACAAAGGATGAAAGCATTAAATGTGAGAAATCATAACCATACACCTGTCGTTGTTGTAAGTAAAGCGGCTGCAGAAATAATTTTACCTATATATATATGTGTGTGTGTGTGTTTTTTTTTTTTAAAGCAGAAACACCCATATATTTGTTTTTGGGTAATTGTAGATAACCTTATCTAAAGTGACTGTAGAAATATTTTTTCATATATATATATGAGAAAAACATTTCTCAAGCAGCTTGAGATAAGTTTATCTCCGGCCACCCCAAAACTACGTCTTTTTATTTATATATTTCCTTATATTAATTGATTCACCTTTGAATGATTATGATTCTCTTTTTCTCTCTCTTCCTTTATCACCATTGATCAATCTTTGTACGGTTATGATTTAGTAGCCGAAGATAACTTTATCTCCGGCAGCTTGAGAAATGATATTATATATATATATATATATATATATATATATATATGGGTCAGGTTATATTTACAAACTTTTTTGTTTACAAACTACACTAAGTATGACCGGTCATACTTTTTTAATCATGCAGTGTACAACCGGTCGTATTTAGTGTAATTTGAAAGAAAGTTTGTAAACGGATCCTATCCCTATATATATATATATATATATATATATATATATATATATATATATATATATATCAATACCTATTATTACGCTCTAATGTGGGACACAGTGAAATCCATAGTTGGGTTTATTAGATTCGTTGCGGAACACTATTATGTACATTAAGAAGTAAGAATATATACGTGGGTACAACTAGAATTGGCTTATTTTTGGGATGAAGATGCTTGCTAAATACCAAAGTTTCTTAGTTCAAAATTCCAAAACTAAGAATACAAGCAATGTTCTCTTTTAATTTTTTTTCCCTTTTCTTTTTATCAACTTTATCAAAAGGAAAACTCTATAAGTCTGAACCAGAACCACAATAGAACAACATATTATGTATGCCCCCTTCAATTGATAGTGTTATAGGATGAGTTCCCTTGGGATCTCAGGTTTCGCACACTTGTTCGGTGTCTTGGCCATCATCCTCTTGCTTGTTTGGTTGTTGCATTACCGTGAGGGGATTGACTTTGATTCGGACAATGGATTTCGCGTCTTTAATGTAAGATTGTTTCCTGTGTTTTTTTTTTCTTCTTAGTTGTAACATGTTACATATAATAGCAATCATATGATGTAAAACTCACGTGTATCTATCTCACTATATGTATGTTCTGCAGGTTCACCCTTTAATGATGTTCACGGGGTTTATTTTCCTTGTTGGTGAAGGTATCTGTTAACTTCATATCATCTATATATGCATATGCAAAATTATTACTTCAATTTAGCATATTTTTGTCCACTTAAAAAAGAAGTGATTTTCTTGAAGAGCAATATGATTTTGTGCAAAATGTGTTGGGAAAATATAAAAACCATTGATGAACCTCCATTTATCAGCTTGAGCTATTAGGTTGAATTGGTTCTTACATGATATTAGAGTTTCCGTGACCACAAGATTACAAGTTCAATCCATATTGACTCATTTTCTAATAGAATTAAGTAAGCACGGGTATAAGCCCAATACAACTTACCAACTTGAGTTGTTGGGTTGAATTGGTTCTTACATGATGTTAGAGTTTCCGTGATCACAAGATTACAAGTTCGATCCATATTGACTCATTTTCTAATAGAATTAAGTAAGCACGGGTATAAGCCCAATACAACTTACCAACTTGAGTTGTTGGGTTGAATTGATTGTTTAAGGACAAATTAATATCGTATCACTTTCTTCACTGATTGAGTTTATGCTAAATTTAAACAGCTGCAATGGCATTCGAAACGGTACCAGGCCTAAGGCAAACCAAGAAATTCGTTCACATGACACTGCATTTGACTGCTATAATTCTTGGAATTGTTGGTTTGTGTGCTGTTTTCAAGTTCCATGATATGGCCCACATTGTCAATGTTTACAGCCTCCATTCATGGATTGGCATTGGCACCTTTTGCTTGTTTGGATTGCAGGTAAAATCAATCTCAAACCTATGCCTTCTTTTCATTTTATCCTTTTTTTTATTCAAAAAAAAAAAAAAAAAAACTTACAAAAGTAATGTTATTAAACTTGAACCATTCATCGACCTAGTATAGGTAATCGATTAATTATTTATCGGTTCAACAGGTTAAATTAAATTTATGTTAAATTATATAATAAATATATTAAAATATGAATTTCAGCTAATAACAAAGTGTAGTCTAGTGGTAAGTGTTATACTATCCATCCTATGATAAGGGTTTGATTCCCAGTTTTAATAACAATGTATAGGAGGATGCATGATTCCAAAATTGTATAGTTAAATCTTATATTAATTAAAAATGAATTAAATAAAGACTAGAGAATAATCAATAAAATAAAATTTAAAAAAAAATAAAAAATAATTTAAAAAATAATATAATTTAACTATTTTTCATAATTATATGGCCCCACAAATGTTATATGTATCATGTGTCACATATCACATTTTTGACAACTATATAATCAAAAATGGTCAAAGAATATCATTTTATTAAATGAGAAAATATTTATCTCCTAAAATTTTAAAATCCAATCGTTTGTAGAATTTGAAATGAAAAAACTATAGAACAAAAAACGACTCTTTGTTAAATCCGACTAGCGAGTGTGGATTGGAGGAAATCTTTGTATGCGAGCCTTACCCTTACATAATTTACATAATTGAAAAGAGACTGTTTCTTTGATTCGAACCCATGAATATTCAATAATTGAAAACAAATTAATCTATCAATGAATAGAACTGCTACTTTTAATGTTACTCCTCCCTGTACTATGCCTACGTACTAGCCTAACCATTATTATTCTTCTGCATGTGTCGAAACTTTCATAATGGGAACTGCTGCTTATTCTTGATTGCAGTGGCTTTTTGGTTTCGTTACATTCATGATCCCAGGACCTTCAGCTCCAACAAGGACTAGAATGCTTCACAGAGCTTTTGGTAAAGCGTTGTTGTTTATGGCAGTGTGTGCTGCAGAAACAGGATTGATGGAGAAGTCTAGTTTCTTAAATTTGAAGCCACATCAGAGAGAATATCATTTGATCAACTTCACGGGTCTTGCAATTCTCTTGTTTGGAGTTTTTGTCGACTTTTCTATTAATTTCCGTAATTTTGCCTGAAATGCAGTTCTCTACTTCACACACTTTCTCATCATCACAAATTGGATTGATACATCATTTCTTTATCTTTTTTACTTTTTGATTTTGTAATTATAACGATATTATTCAATTACTCGAAATGGTTTGTATAATTTTTTTATAGTATTTTTTACTCGATGTTAATGTAACTAATGATAATACATTATGGAAAAAAAATAAAAAATCAACATTACAACATTAAAGAACCAATTTAACCCAAAAACTTAAGTTGTTGGGTGAGCTACATTAATAATTTTATATATGTTTAACATGTCCCCTCTGCTTCAAACCCATCGGACTTGAAGAATGGATGATGCATCGGTCTAACCTACATGTGCTAAAAAAATCCACAAGACTTAATTAATTATTAATTAAATGGAGGCGAGGAGTATCGAGTCAGTGATACCGAGGCTCAGATACCATGTAAAGAATTAATTCAACCCAAATAGTTTAAGCTGTTGGGTGAGGCTACATTAGTAGTTTTACCCAAAAACTTAAGCTATTGGGTGAGACTACATTAATAGTTTTATATATCTCTAACACGTTTCTCACACGAAAGCTCATTGGACTTGAATGGTGGATGATGCATCAGGTCCAGCCTACCTGTGCTAAGAAACTCCACAAGACTTAATTAATTATTAATAAAATGGGGGCGGTGAGAATCGAACCAGTGACACCGAGACTCTGATACCATATAAAGAACAAATTCAACACAAAAACTTAAGCAGTTGGAAAAAATTACATTAATAGTTTTATGGGGCAGGTTATATTTACAAACTTTTTTGTTTACAAACTCTTACAAACTACACTATGTAGGACCGGTCCTACATTAATCACACAGTGTATGACCGGTCCTACATTAGTGTAATTGCAAAAAAAATTTGTAAACAAATCCTGTACCTAGTTTTATATATTTCAAACAAAAACCTTCTCTTTGTAAAGACTATATTTTTATAAGTTATAATGTAATGTGTGTTTCTTTTATTGATAGTTATGAGATAGATACTGTCTGAAAAGAAATTTGTCACTATTAGCACTATCATCCATATATGTCTCTTCTCTTGTTTAGCATTAGTGGTTCCTGGATGGCTAATTTTTCAGATTAAAACCGGGACCCATTTCACCAATTTTATGATCCTCTTGATCTTTAACATATCTTGTTTGATGATACAGCGCAGGTTAAAACTTCCTAAATTGTAATAAAAAAAAAAAAAAACTTCCTAAATTAGTTTCGGTTGATTTGTTTATTAGTTTCTTATTTTCTACAAAAAGAAAAAAGAAAAAAGAAAAAAAAATTGATTTGATACTATTAGGTTGATTATGAACAAAATAACGACAGTTGACCGCAGTAACAATGCACTGCAATCAACCATACCTGCAATGTCTTCCCTAACTCGGTAAAATGCAAGGATGAACAAAAAATATGGGTAAACCAAAGAAAAATGAAAATTTGAAATAAAGTTAGATTTTTTTTTAATTATTGTTGGTTTTGAAAGAAAAGCCAATAATTACATAGCAAATAAACACATTTGGCCTAACCTATATTTTGTGCTTCCCAAGAAAATGCAAGGAGGTGGAGCAAAGAAACAAAAATAGAGAATTTAAAACAAAATCAGACTATTTTATCTATTGTGTTTTGTAAAAGAAAAGTGAATATTTATGTTCAGATATGTATACTACAACATGTTGAAATAAGTATATACATCTTATGGACTATGGATAAGAAGTGGGTTGAAGAAGAAAAGAAAAGAGAAAAGTTGAAAGAGTGTGTGGGTTATAAGAAGTCCCACATTGGACAACTAGTAAGAGATGAGAGGATATATAAGCTCTCATCTCACACTACTAAATTGCCTCTTTAGGGGTGGTAAACGAACCAAGGGCATTTACCTTGGAGTTTACATGTTTAAAATTGGTTGTTAGTACCATGCTTGGTCTTGTAGGTCTTGTATAAAAGCTCGTTCTTAGTCTTAGAGCCTCTCAAAGCTGATTTATTATTTTTATTTTATATTTTTTTTGGAAATATTCCAATCGATTCATTGTTTCGCAACTAATCCGATTCGGGGCCGGTCCCAAAGGTGGTAGTGGAAAGATTCGAACACATGCTCTCACCCCACCTGCTTAGCTCTCATGCGCCAACTGAGCTACCACCATTTGGTTTTTTATTTTATATTTTGGGAAAACTTAAAAAAAACCCTACAAGTTTCCTCAAAATCACTTAACCCCCTTCCCGAAGTTTTTAATCACTTACCCCCTACTTAAAATTTCTTTATCACTTACCCCTAATTTGATTTTCCAACCAAAATTTTGTTAATAGAGTTAAATTTTTTAAAAGGTACCAAAATTACTCTTAATAGAAAAAAGAAAAACATAATTTCTTCACAAACACAGTTTTAGACAAACTCACGTAAGCAAGAAATTAATGTAAATCAACGATTGAATCCTCCCTCTACTCTCAACGACACAAAAAATAACGAAATAGCATCTTCTGCATGTTTTCTTGGTAATATAATATGAATAAGGGAAAAGCAAGACATATATAAAGCACAGAACGTAAAGCTTTTCAATTGTTGTGCAAACAAAATAAAGTGAGGCTCTGAGTAAAATTATAAAGTCAGATTTGTTGGTCATATTATAACAGAAAATGGAAGAACCTGCTGAGATGATGCCTCTTTAATCATTTTATTTGAACAACGACACCAACAATTGTGAGTGAGTGTTTAATAACAACTGGATTTGCAGGAAACAATTTTAATAATTACTAATTCTAACAAGGCTACCTTAAAGAAAATATTTCGTGAGTTCGTCTAAAATTGCGTTTGTGAGGAAATTATGTTTTTCTTTTTTCTATTATGGGTAATTTTGGTATTTTTAAAAAAATTAACTTTGTTAACAAAATTTTGGATGGAAAATCAAATTAGGGGGTAAGTGATAAAGAAATTTTATGTAGGGGGTAAATGATTAAAAATTTCGGGGAGAGGACTAAGTGATTTTGAGAAAACTTGTAGGGGAATTTTTGAAATTTTCCCTTATATTTTTTATACTACTTGTAATGGCTCTCTCTCTCCCCTTAATCCATTTCACTCAATTTTATTGGTTAAATAGATTTTTTGAAAGATTTTGTTCTATATTCTGCTGTTTGGATATATATTGAATTTATGAATATTTATAGAATTACTGGTGCAGTTGATTGTATATTCTGTTTGGAAAAAAATTTGTTGTCTTATTTTAAAAAAAAGGCTAAACTAGGCTTTTATTTTTTTATAAATAAGTCATGCCACATGCCGATAATTATATTCATAACAAGTAACAAGTTTGGTCAAGCTGAAACATTTAAACACAGACTTAACTTTTTAAGACCAAAGTTTGGCTTGGTTCGGCCTGTTAACACCCCTGCCCTTGGGGCACTACAAAATTTGTGGAGGGGAGAGTCTGGCAGGCTCGGTTCGTGCGTGCGTGTGAAATAAAAATAATTTTTTATTAAATTTTTTATTAAATTTTTTATTATTTTTTATTCGATCGTTGCTTCCCTCCAAATTCAAAAGTGAAATGATGCTTCCCGCCAGAACCAATTCTTTCCCTTTCAGTTTTATTTTAAACCGAACCGACGCATTCAATCAATATTGAACCGAATCGATCACCGGTTGTGCCCCTTCACAACTGTCAGTCACGGCGGTTCGCCGTCAACGGTTCATCATGTTCGGTTAGTGTCTATATAGACCCTAACCCCTTTAGAAAATTTATCCGATTTTTGCACTGTTACTCTATCGGATTTTTCCTTTATCCATGCACGCATTCTTCCATTCTTTCTAGTGTAATTCCTCAAGCATTCAGTTGTGTTCGTTTTGGCTGTTGACTGATAGTGCCATCATTCTTCAGACGTAATCCGCTCTATCTTGGGAGATAAGTGTTTATCAACCTTCCGCATCAGTGAGTGAACAAATTGTCTTAAGGAGACACTTTATGTGGGCTCTAATTTTACCAGTGTTCTGCATACTGCATACTTCCTTCATTCCTTTTTATGTATACCAGTGTTTTAAAACCCACCCCACCTCCGGGGTTAACCCGGGTCAACCCTGACCCCTTCCCTCTGAGGGTTGGGGTCACAAGTTGGACCCTATATGCATATCGACCTCTCCGACCCCCAAAACCCGGCCGAGTTTCAGTGACTCCCGGGTCAGAGGGGTCAAAGGGGGTCAGTGCATGTTTTTTTTTAAAATTTTTTTTCCATGAAACAAGATCGTTTTATTAAAAAAATGAAATAAAAATATTTGCAAGCCTAAACCTAATCGTTCTCTTCTCTCCCAGCGACTTAGACATCTTCAATCTTCACCTCGCTGTCGTGAATCTTCTAAAAAAGGTAAGAATTGTACACATTCAAATGAAATTTTTACGATAGTTGATGGAAAACACAAACTCATTCTTACTTCCTTTAAATTTTCCTTTCTCAGAAACCTTCTCAAAAGAGGCAGAACCGGGTCAGCGTAGTGACCCCATTAGAATATAAGTGTTGTATTTTGGTATCTTGATACTTTAATTAGGTTATGTAATATTGACTTGTGGTTGTAATTGGTGAATTATGTTAAGTATATTTTGAATTTTTGATGATTTGTGGTTTGTTTTTTAATATTTTCATATAGGATATATATATTTATATTTTTTAATATATAAAACTGGGTCAGCGTAGTGACCCCGTGACCCCTCGGTTGAACACATGACTCCGTGATCCCTGACCTCGGCCGAGTCGATGGCCGAGCCGGGTTTTTAAACACTGATATATACCGATATACTGTGAATCTGTTCTTAATTTTTTCCATTGCACTATGTTCATAATTAATAATCTTATATGCGTCATACACGAATTCAAATCTATCAGTGATTTTAATTATCACCCACTGTTCTTCTAAACAATAGAACATAGTGTATGGTTGTGTTTGAGCATTCATGGAGTAGATCCGATGGTAGTATCAATAAAATATTTCTCC